TTTAAAATCGACAAAATTCCCATTAGATAGCAAAATGCAGTGTAATAATGAGCTTCTCTTTGCAAAATGGCTTCACGTACGTCATTCAGAGGTATTGTTTATATAAGCACATAATCTTTCCCAACGGGGTAATCAAGCCAACAGTTCTCTTTGCACGCAAACATGGAGTCCACGGCAGAGTACTTTCCCAGCTCCAACGTGTATACGTGGTTTGCTTTAGTCCTTGGAATACTAGTCTTTATTTACTGGCAAGGTCTGCAGCGTTACAACTCGGTCCTCGGAGACTGTCCGCTCTCCGGCCCAAAACCTTGGCCATGGGTCGGTAGCCTTCCCGATGTGTTCAAATATGGCGGCATGCACAAGATGTTCCTGAATTACTTTTACAAGTATGGCCGAGTCCATAAGATGTGTTTTGGTCGATCTCCAGTGATTGTCGTCTCGGACCCCGAAATAGTCAAGCAGATCATGGTCAAGGAATTTTGGAAGTTCCCAAATCGACCGCCTTTTATTAAACCCAACCCTCCTCTCAGTTCGGGACTCTTTATATCGCGGGACGAGACATGGAAACGCATTCGAAATACTCTCACTCCAACATTCACTGCAACAAAGCTAAAGCAGATTGTGCCGATAATCGATGAAGCGTCACAAAAGCTGTCTGGGAAAATGAAAACGTTCTCCGAAACGGGTAAGCATGCCCTCTTAGAATTAAAATATATTTCTGTTTAATTTGTTGGAGTTTGCGACGAAAGCGCAGGTTCTTGTCGCCGAAGAGTAATGTTACTAAACCAGAGAATCTTAAAAATACTAGGATTTTAAAGCTAATGCGACCTTTTCAATGGTCTAAATATATCCCTGTGCTTGCACAACTTTAATAATTTCTGCCATTCAAACTGTCTCAATTTGTTATAATTTACAATGATATGCTAATCTAGATTGAGAAAATAATCGAGTCAATCGGGCCCATTATTTTCACATGGCGTTCTTGCCTCAGATGACCTGCCCCTTTTTAAAACTTCTACTTTGATTCGTTCTTGTTAATCTGCACCTCTTTTGTTCTAAGGGCCATGAGGGGCATTGTTCGTGTTGTATACCTATTGTTTCGTTTGGCCAATCATGAAGACCCTTGGAAACGGTGCGTGGTCGCCTGGGCCCGTTCTTTTACGCATTCGATGCGCCTTTGTTCTCTGATGTACATTATGTTTGCATTTGCCGTTTACATTCGTCGAAACAACTTATTTACGCACTATCAACACAAAACAGAGCACTTGGTCCAAAGAACACGAGAAGAAAAAAATTATTGGAACATGGTATAAACAAAATAATAAAGGCCTCCACATTGCATGGTGCTCAATTATTCTTCTCTTCTTTTGGCTGAGAACAGTAACTACAGTCAAACCGGACCTGTATATAACGGTCACCCTTGGGAAATGGCCAGGTGACCGTTATATACAGGGTGACCGCTGTACACAGGTTTCCTTTAAACCCCCCTGGAAGTCAATAAATAGCATTTTTATGTGCAAATAATCACTCAATTTACGTTTCATTGACAATAACGAGTAACATTAACGTAATAAACACGATAAAAAAGGCCCATAAAATGTCCGTGTTGTACTTTTAGGGAGGTGCAGTAAAATTCTACTAAAAGCTAATGAACAACGTTTTTAAGGGGAAAATCACTCAATTTACATTTATTGACAACAATTTGAAACAGTTTAGTACAGTACAATGTTATAATCAGGTAACTATGACGAAAGTGAAAACAGTGTGGTTACGGTTCTGTTGTTACAGTTAGAGTAACTATTGTTTGAAAGCGACGGCTTTTTAATGTGATCTGCCACACGCATTTGTTGGATGTAGGCGATGACATGTATTAGTAGTTGTACTAATATTTGTATTTTTGTGAGACCCCTGCCTTGGTGGCTGCTATTTAACGAGTTGATGAATAAAGCTTGTCATTATTCGTTAATCGTGACCCAATTTCGTGACCGTTATATACGGGTAAAAGATAATGAAATTGTGGATTTAGTAAGTCTAAAGGGTGACCTCGTCCGTAATATACAGGTGACCGCTATATGCAGGTCAACATAACATTAAATATAAGGGACGATTTTTGGGAAGTTGTTCAGTGGCCGTTATACATAGGGTGACCGCTATATACAGGGCCGTTATATACAGGTTTGACTGTATTCTATAGGCTCAATATAACACCTTGAGTTCTCTTGCCGAACGTCGCCCTGTCATCATGTCGACGCTTTTTGGTCATCGCTGACCAATACCGCGCCGACTATTTGCCGATGAGCAATAATTATCTCCAATATATTTGGTGCCTTCCTTAACGTTCACCTAATCTTTCTTTCAACATCAACATTAAGTTATCTTGTTTTTGTTTTTTTCTTCATTTATTCATTCATTCACTCACTCACTCACTCACTCATTCATTCATTGATTGGTTGATTGATTGTTGATTGACTGATTGATATATTATTTATTTATTTATTTATTTATTTGTTTATTTATTTATATAGGTGAATCAGTGGATGTCGTTCGCCTCTTCAGCCTTTTTGCGTTAGAAGTCATCATGAAGGCTGCGTTTGGGTTTGACACAGACCTTCAAATGAATCCAGATGAAGCATTCGTAGAGAAAGCCAGGAACGCTTTCCAAACTCCTCTCTATGTCCGTACGTTTTCGTTGCTGCCGTTTTGGACATATCTAAGTCGATATGTCAACCTCTTGCCCGGTACAGACTTCTTCACTGCCTTGGCAAGGAACATGCTTCAGCAAAAAGCTCAACAGGGTTCTTCCAACAAAAGAGATTTGCTGCAGTTGATGTTGGAGGCCCACGAGGTCACTGTCAACGGAGTCAGCAAGTTAAACGATGATGAAATCATGGCCCAATCCATAACCTTCTTGTTAGCCGGGTTTGAGACCACAGGCACCACTTTGTCTAGCACGGCGTATTTCCTGGCTACTCATCCAGACGTTCAAGATAAGCTCATCGAGGAGATCGACAAAGCAGATGCTGCTCGCGGTGACACCCCGCTGTACGACTACGTGCAAAGCATCGGGTACCTGGATCAAGTCGTGTGCGAGGTCCTACGTCTCTGTGCTCCAGCCTTTCTCCTTCTCCGCGGCTGCGAAGAGGAGGCTGTCTTCAAAGGCGTCCGCTTTCCCAGGGGAGTTGAAGTCAACGTCCCTACGTATGTCCTTCACCGAGACCCTGAAGTGTGGGACAGCCCCCTTGAGTTCAACCCGGAGAATTTCTCCCCTGAAGCAAAGGAGAAGCGAAATCCGTATTCCTTTCTCCCGTTTGGAACAGGCCCTCGGCAGTGCATCGGTATGCGCTTCGCTCTGTTGGAGATTAAGCTAGGCCTGCTGAAAATCATGCAGCAATTCAAGTTTGAACGCGCTCCAGAAACCGTAGCTACACTGGAACATCGAGCCGTTATACTGATGAGGCCAAAAGACAAAATATATGTGAAGGTCAGGCCACGTTGAAGCGTCCAAGGAACGTTATGTTTTCTCTTATTCTTTGTCAACTTGGCCCAAACGTCAAGTAAATCAAAACAAGTGATGACGTATGATTACGGATGTACTCTTCTTTTAGCTTTACAAGTAATTTTAACGGATCCCCGAGAGGTTCTTGCCAGATCTTAGTACAGTCAAACCTCTCCAAGAAGGTCACTTCGGGGAGAGAGCAATTAAGAGGCCGTTGTAGAGACGTGACCATTATGTAGAGTTATGGATATAGTATGACACATGCCTCTTTTTGTGGGTGCGATATTTTGATTTTTTTAATGTTCAGTGTAGCATATAGACACATGGCACAATCGAAATATATCAATAAAACAGGCCAGATAGAACCAGATACCAACGAAGCACGATAAACAAATCTTGTATCATGACCTTTAGCAATAAAAATGGGGTTTTGTATATACTGTTCGACAGTTGTTTATTCAACTGGCCGTTGTCGAGAGGTTATCAGGGAGCTTAAGGTGTCTCGATACAGTTTTTTTCTGGACCATACTAAATGTTTTCTAGCAGCTTTTTGACAGTCTTCCCGTAATCGGATCGATATGAAAATTACACGAGAAATTAGAAATGGATTAAAGTTTGGTATAATGCATTTCTTAAAGTAATCGACATTTCCATGGAAACGATGAACCAAACAATCGAAAATCGGTAAAAATATGAATTGTGCACTGTACTGACCAGATGTGATATGAAAAAGCTAACACCAGTGCCTCAAACTATGGTGTACGGCAAATAATAAAAAAAAATTCTGTAACTTTGATCTCGACTAAATCGCAAAATCATTTCAAATTATACTTTTTACATCATAATAGTAAATGAACCGAATTAAGTTGAACACTCTTTTGATGACATTGCTCATTAAATAACACCAAAATGCGTCTTGAAGTTAGTTTTTGAAGCCGTGAATGTTGTGTTGGTTTTCTTTGCGCGATCTCAAGAACGAGACGTTTACTTAGGGTCACTCCCAGTTATAATTTTCGGTCATTTACGATTTTTAGTACTATTTCGGCAATATATGCGTAGCGCACGCAAGTTCCCCCAATGTTTCCTAGTTTTGCGATACAGGAAACATTGTTTCCGGCGTCAATTTTTGTTTCCAAGAAACACAATATAGACTAAATATGTTTCTGCTACACAGCAGAAACATTCCGTGTATTCGCGCGGCATTGAACCATGTTTATTTATGTTTCCTGGTTTTGCCTCAACCCGCAAAATGTGTTACTTAGCAACCATCGCGTGCTCGTTCTTAAGGCTTTACGCCCAAGAGAAAGACAACATGGCTGACTCAAGGGAAAACTCGAACGCGAGTTAGACAAAAAAACGGAAAGAAAGGTTACTAGCACAGACGGGGAGGAAATAAATTACACTACTTACGAATTAAGGAAATGTTTTTCAGTGTTTATGGGACTTCGCCAACAAGGAATACAACGTCACAATCAAATACATTGCGCCCAACATCGGCCATTTTGCTTCCGATCGTCAAGTGTGCAAGAAAACATATGTTGCCGGCCATTCCTGTCGCCTATCAATCTCGTTCCCAGAGCCCTCGTTACCCTTGTTCAGCGGAACGGGATTTGACATTAAATCCCTGAGCCCCGCTTACATTGCACATTTTCTAGCGCAGGATTTTAGTCATATCCTGCACGTATTTCTTGTGGATATTTTTTTTTTGTTCACTCCCTGTCGTATAGGAGTGTACTTTGTACTACAAAGGTTTAATATAAAATAAGTTCCATCTTTGTATCTTGTAGTTTAATCCTGATGAAGTCCCACTAGCAGACGAAACCAGTCGATTAATAAACTCAGTTGTACAAGATTATTAGTTGTTGCTGCGTGCTGCCCACAAGTATTCTTATTTAAAAGTTATTTTCGAATTGTAGAGTAGAGCTTACCATACCACAGGAAGACGAGACACAAAAAATTCTTGACGAGAGATCTGGAGACTTTCACTTTCGGCGTGACTTGTTTATTTATTTATTTATTTATTTATTTATTTATTTATTTATTTACGGTTAACACTTTTTGCGGCTAACAGTTGAAATTTAAATTCGAATGAGAATATATATCAAACACTAATTAATTACAGTGTTTGACCACATTTCCAAACACCTCAAAGTTCGTCAAAAATGCCACACTGCGCGTCTTCTCGTTGTTTAGAAATGTGACCAAACACGGTCTTTCGTAATGAATAGATTCTGAAAAGAATTAATACAAGCCAGAATCTTGAAGCAGGAGTAGTTCCAAAGAAAATCGTCACATTTAGAATCATTGGCTCAGTAAAGGGAGAGGAAGGGGAAAACTATATTAAAAAAAAGGCAGAGACTATGCCTGGTTAAGTAAGAGAAGCAACTTTCCCCAGCTTTAGAAGTGCACATATTTATTTCGCACTTTCGTTGCAAACATCAGTTGACGTACACTGAGTCTAGAGTTAGTTTGGACCATTAATTGAAAATCTTGATATCTGGTTATAAGTTCCCTATTATGGGGACAAATATAAAGTTCCTTAGATGCTTCAACGTGGCCGGACCTTTACACATATTTTCTCTTTTGGCGTCATCAGCAAGACGCCTCGATGTTCCAGCGTAGCTACGGTCTCTTGAGCGCGTTCAAACTTGAATTGCTGCATGATTTTCAGCAGGCCTAGCTTAATCTCCAACAGAGCGAAGCGCATACCAATGCACTGCCGAGGGCCTGTTCCAAACGGGAGAAAGGAATACGGATTTCGCTTCTCCTTTGCTTCAGGGGAGAAATTCTCCGGGTTAAACTCGAAGGGGTTGTCCCACACTTCAGGGTCTCGGTGGAAAACATACGTAGGGATATTGCCATCAACTCCCTTGGGAAACCGGACGCCTTTGAAGACAGCCCTCTTTGCAGCCGGGGAGAAGAAGAAAGGCTGGAGCACAGAGACGTAGAACCTCGCACACGACTTGATCCAGGTACCGGATGCTTTGCACGTAGTCGTACAGCGGGGCGTCACCACGTGCTTGATTTGCTTTGTCGATCTCCTCGATCAGCTTATCTTGAACGTCTGGATGAGTAGCCAGGAAATACGCCGTGCTAGACAAAGTGGTGCCTGTGGTCTCAAACCCGGCTAACAAGAAGGTTATGGATTGGGCCATGATTTCATCATCGTTTAACTTGCTGACTCCGTTGACAGTGACCTCGTGGGCCTCCAACATCAACTGCAGCAAATCTCTTTTGTTGGAAGAACCCTGTTGAGCTTTTTGCTGAAGCATGTTCCTTGCCAAGGCAGTGAAGAAGTCTGTACCGGGCAAGAGGTTGACATATCGACTTAGATATGTCCAAAACGGCAGCAACGAAAACGTACGGACATAGAGAGGAGTTTGGAAAGCGTTCCTGGCTTTCTCTACGAATGCTTCATCTGGATTCATTTGAAGGTCTGTGTCAAACCCAAACGCAGCCTTCATGATGACTTCTAACGCAAAAAGGCTGAAGAGGCGAATGGCATCCACTGATTCACCTATATAAATAAATAAATAAATAAATATATATATATATATATATAAATAAATAATATATCAATTAATCAATCAAGGCAATGAAGAAATCTGTACCCGACAAGAGATTGGCATACCGACTTAGATATGTCCAGAACGGCAGCAGCGAAAACGTACGGATATAGAGCGGAAGTTGGGAAGCGTTCCTGGCTCTCTCTACGAATGCATGCTTCATCTGGATTCATTTGAAGGTCTGTGTCAAACCCAAACGCAGCCTTCATGATGACTTCTAATGGGAAAAGGCTAAAGAGACGAATGGCATCCACTGATTCACCTTTATAACAAAAAAATTAAAAAATGAAGAAAAATTAAGTGGAAATGAACTTTGCTGTGATAAGTTTTTGTTGATGTTGAAAGAAGGATTAGAAGAACTTCAAGCAAGGAACCAACTATATTGGAGAGAAGTAATGCTTATCAGCCAATAGCCTGCACATTATTGGTCAACGGTGACCGAAAAGTTTCAAAATGACAGGACGCTTGGTCCGCGAACTCCAGTATTCAATTATTGTTTGTCAGTTTCTGCTAAGTTCCGGTAATTTTTTTTTAATTTTCATGCTTTTTAGACCAGTTGCTTTGTTTTCTGTCAATTGTAAAAACTTGTTTGACCTTAATTCACTTTTCGTAAAAGCTACAGTTCTGAAAGGTTCAACTTGAATGGCTAAAGAAACAATCAGGGGCCGATGAAGGTAATTATATAAACGCCCAATGCAAATTTAAATTGTTAATTAATGCCTAGACAACAATGTTAATTCCAAGAAGCTCCAAGAGAGCAAGGATCCATCGGAATGGTCTTGATCGTTTTGTAGCAANCGATAATCGATGAAGCGTCACAAAAGTTGTCTGGGAAAACGAAAACGTTCTCAGAAACGGGTAAGCATGCCCTCTAAGAATTAGAGTTCTTTTCAGTTGTTTTCATTTTCATTTTCATTTGTTGTTATTTGTCAGCAAAACGCAGGTTCTTGTCGCGAATGAGTAATGTTTCTAAACCAAAGAAACTAAAGTTAGTGGGATTATAAAGCTTAAGTGATCTTTTCAATTGCCTCAAAATCACTGTGCTTGCATGATTTTCGACCGTTCAAACTGTCCTCATTGTTATAATTTACAAAAGTATGCTAATCTAGGTTGTGAAAACAATCTTCCACAAAGACTGATGACGGGAGATGGTGGGAGTGTCATGCTTAAAGCAATACAGAAGTTTCTTCTGTCAGGATAATGTAACTTGTTTTTACACGCTTAACTTTCCTCAGTTTTGAACAAGGCTTTGTTTTGCTACAAAACGATCAAGACCATTCCGATGGATCCTTGCTCTCTTGGAGCTTCTTGGAATTAACATTGTTGTCTAGGCATTAATTAACAATTTAAATTTGCATTGGGCGTTTATATAATTACCTTCATCGGCCCCTGATTGTTTCTTTAGCCATTCAAGTTGAACCTTTCAGAACTGTAGCTTTTACGAAAAGTGAATTAAGGTCAAACAAGTTTTTACAATTGACAGAAAACAAAGCAACTGGTCTAAAAAGCATGAAAATTAAAAAAAAATTACCGGAACTTAGCAGAAACTGACAAACAATAATTGAATACTGGAGTTCGCGGACCAAGCGTCCTGTCATTTTGAAACTTTTCGGTCACCGTTGACCAATAATGTGCAGGCTATTGGCTGATAAGCATTACTTCTCTCCAATATAGTTGGTTCCTTGCTTGAAGTTCTTCTAATCCTTCTTTCAACATCAACAAAAACTTATCACAGCAAAGTTCATTTCCACTTAATTTTTCTTCATTTTTTAATTTTTTTGTTATAAAGGTGAATCAGTGGATGCCATTCGTCTCTTTAGCCTTTTCCCATTAGAAGTCATCATGAAGGCTGCGTTTGGGTTTGACACAGACCTTCAAATGAATCCAGATGAAGCATGCATTCGTAGAGAGAGCCAGGAACGCTTCCCAACTTCCGCTCTATATCCGTACGTTTTCGCTGCTGCCGTTCTGGACATATCTAAGTCGGTATGCCAATCTCTTGTCGGGTACAGATTTCTTCATTGCCTTGATTGATTAATTGATATATTATTTATTTATATATATATATATATATATTTATTTATTTATTTATTTATATAGGTGAATCAGTGGATGCCATTCGCCTCTTCAGCCTTTTTGCGTTAGAAGTCATCATGAAGGCTGCGTTTGGGTTTGACACAGACCTTCAAATGAATCCAGATGAAGCATTCGTAGAGAAAGCCAGGAACGCTTTCCAAACTCCTCTCTATGTCCGTACGTTTTCGTTGCTGCCGTTTTGGACATATCTAAGTCGATATGTCAACCTCTTGCCCGGTACAGACTTCTTCACTGCCTTGGCAAGGAACATGCTTCAGCAAAAAGCTCAACAGGGTTCTTCCAACAAAAGAGATTTGCTGCAGTTGATGTTGGAGGCCCACGAGGTCACTGTCAACGGAGTCAGCAAGTTAAACGATGATGAAATCATGGCCCAATCCATAACCTTCTTGTTAGCCGGGTTTGAGACCACAGGCACCACTTTGTCTAGCACGGCGTATTTCCTGGCTACTCATCCAGACGTTCAAGACAAGCTCATCGAGGAGATCGACAAAGCAGATGCTGCTCGCGGTGACACCCCGCTGTACGACTACGTGCAAAGCATCGGGTACCTGGATCAAGTCGTGTGCGAGGTCCTACGTCTCTGTGCTCCAGCCTTTCTCCTTCTCCGCGGCTGCGAAGAGGAGGCTGTCTTCAAAGGCGTCCGCTTTCCCAGGGGAGTTGAAGTCAACGTCCCTACGTATGTCCTTCACCGAGACCCTGAAGTGTGGGACAGCCCCCTTGAGTTCAACCCGGAGAATTTCTCCCCTGAAGCAAAGGAGAAGCGAAATCCGTATTCCTTTCTCCCGTTTGGAACAGGCCCTCGGCAGTGCATCGGTATGCGTTTCGCTCTGTTGGAGATTAAGCTAGGCCTGCTGAAAATCATGCAGCAATTCAAGTTCGAACGCGCTCCAGAAACCGTAGCTACACTGGAACATCGAGCCGTTATACTGATGAGGCCAAAAGACAAAATATATGTGAAGGTCAGGCCACGTTGAAGCGTCCAAGGAACGTTATATTTTCTCTTATTCTTTGTCAACTTGGCCCAAACGTCAAGTAAATTAAAACAGGTGATCACGAATGATTATGGATGCACTCTATTTTTAGCTTTACTTGACAATGTAATTTTAACGGATCCCCAAAAGGTTCTTGCCAGATCCTAGGACAGTCGAACCTCTCCAAGAAGGTCACGTCGAGAAGAGAGGAATTAAGAGGCCGTTGTAGAGAAGTGGCCATTATGTAGAGTTATGGATGTAACATGACACCTGCCTCTTTTCGTGGGTGCGATATTTTGATCTTTTTAATGTTCAGTGTAGCAAGAACAACAACAACTTTATTATTATGACTCGCATATTTACTACTTAGTTTACAGAAATAGATATACAGATTAAGTTTAAAATGTTTGTAGCACATAGACACATGGCACAATCGAAATATATCAATAAAACAGAAACCAGTTAGAAACAGATACCAACGACGCACGATAAAAAAATCTTGTGTCATGACCTTTAGCAATAAAAATGGGGTTTTGTATACACTGTTCGACAGTTGTTTATTCAACTGGCCGTTGTCGAGAGGTTATCAGGGAGCTTAAGGTGTCTCGATACAGTTTTTTTCTGGACCATACCAAACGTTTTCAAACAGCTTTTTGACAGTCTTCCCGTAATCGGATCGATATGAAAATTACACGAGAAATTAGAAATGGATTGAAGTTTGGTATAATGCATTTCTTAAGGTAATCGACATTTCCATGGGAACGATGAACCAAACAATCGAAAATCGGCAAAAATATGAATTGTGCACTGTATTGACCAGATGTGATATGAAAAAGCTAACACCAGTGCCTTAAACTATGGTGTACGGCAAATAATAAAAAAAATTCTGTAACTTTGATCTCGACTAAATCGCAAAATCATTTCAAATTATACTTTTTACATCATAATAGTAAATGAACCGAATTAAGTTGAATACTCTTGATGACATTGCTCATCAAATAACACCAACATGCGTTTTGAAGTTATTTTTTGAAGTCGTGAAAGTTGCGTTGGTTTTCTTTGCGCGATCTCAAGAGCGTGACGTTTACTTAGGGTCACTTCCATTTATAATTTTCGGTAATTTATGGTTTTTAATCCTATTTCGGCAGTATATGCGTAACGCGCGCATTTTCCCCAGTTTTTCCTAGTTTTGCTAAACGGGAAACATTGTTTCCGGCGTCAATTTTTGTTCCCAAGAAACACAATATAGACTAAATATGTTTCTGCTACACAGCAGAAACATTCCGTGTTTTCGCACGGCATTGAACCATGTTTCTTGACGTTTCCTGGTTTTGCCTCAACCCGCAAAATTTGTTACTTAGCAACCATCGCTCGAAAGGTTACTAGGACAGACGAGGAAATAAATTACACTACCTACGAATTAAGGAAATGTTTATCCCTGCTTATAACATAACTAAAGCAAAGCGCGCGCTCTGATTGGTTAATTTAGCGTCTACTATTTGCCCATGGGTTATACTGATGAGGCCAAAAGACAAAATATATGTGAAGGTCAGGCCACGTTGAAGCGTCCAAGGAACGTTATGTTTTCTCTTATTCTTTGTCAACTTGGCCCAAATGTCAAGTAAATCAAAACAAGTGATGACGTATGATTACGGATGTACTCTTCTTTTAGCTTTACAAGTAATTTTAACGGATCCCCGAGAGGTTCTTGCCAGATCTTAGTACAGTCAAACCTCTCCAAGAAGGTCACTTCGGGGAGAGAGCAATTAAGAGGCCGTTGTAGAGACGTGACCATTATGTAGAGTTATGGATATAGTATGACACATGCCTCTTTTTGTGGGTGCGATATTTTGATTTTTTTAATGTTCAGTGTAGCATATAGACACATGGCACAATCGAAATATATCAATAAAACAGGCCAGATAGAACCAGATACCAACGAAGCACGATAAACAAATCTTGTATCATGACCTTTAGCAATAAAAATGGGGTTTTGTATATACTGTTCGACAGTTGTTTATTCAACTGGCCGTTGTCGAGAGGTTATCAGGGAGCTTAAGGTGTCTCGATACAGTTTTTTTCTGGACCATACTAAATGTTTTCTAGCAGCTTTTTGACAGTCTTCCCGTAATCGGATCGATATGAAAATTACACGAGAAATTAGAAATGGATTAAAGTTTGGTATAATGCATTTCTTAAAGTAATCGACATTTCCATGGAAACGATGAACCAAACAATCGAAAATCGGTAAAAATATGAATTGTGCACTGTACTGACCAGATGTGATATGAAAAAGCTAACACCAGTGCCTCAAACTATGGTGTACGGCAAATAATAAAAAAAAATTCTGTAACTTTGATCTCGACTAAATCGCAAAATCATTTCAAATTATACTTTTTACATCATAATAGTAAATGAACCGAATTAAGTTGAACACTCTTTTGATGACATTGCTCATTAAATAACACCAAAATGCGTCTTGAAGTTAGTTTTTGAAGCCGTGAATGTTGTGTTGGTTTTCTTTGCGCGATCTCAAGAACGAGACGTTTACTTAGGGTCACTCCCAGTTATAATTTTCGGTCATTTACGATTTTTAGTACTATTTCGGCAATATATGCGTAGCGCACGCAAGTTCCCCCAATGTTTCCTAGTTTTGCGATACAGGAAACATTGTTTCCGGCGTCAATTTTTGTTTCCAAGAAACACAATATAGACTAAATATGTTTCTGCTACACAGCAGAAACATTCCGTGTATTCGCGCGGCATTGAACCATGTTTATTTATGTTTCCTGGTTTTGCCTCAACCCGCAAAATGTGTTACTTAGCAACCATCGCGTGCTCGTTCTTAAGGCTTTACGCCCAAGAGAAAGACAACATGGCTGACTCAAGGGAAAACTCGAACGCGAGTTAGACAAAAAAACGGAAAGAAAGGTTACTAGCACAGACGGGGAGGAAATAAATTACACTACTTACGAATTAAGGAAATGTTTTTCAGTGTTTATGGGACTTCGCCAACAAGGAATACAACGTCACAATCAAATACATTGCGCCCAACATCGGCCATTTTGCTTCCGATCGTCAAGTGTGCAAGAAAACATATGTTGCCGGCCATTCCTGTCGCCTATCAATCTCGTTCCCAGAGCCCTCGTTACCCTTGTTCAGCGGAACGGGATTTGACATTAAATCCCTGAGCCCCGCTTACATTGCACATTTTCTAGCGCAGGATTTTAGTCATATCCTGCACGTATTTCTTGTGGATATTTTTTTTTTGTTCACTCCCTGTCGTATAGGAGTGTACTTTGTACTACAAAGGTTTAATATAAAATAAGTTCCATCTTTGTATCTTGTAGTTTAATCCTGATGAAGTCCCACTAGCAGACGAAACCAGTCGATTAATAAACTCAGTTGTACAAGATTATTAGTTGTTGCTGCGTGCTGCCCACAAGTATTCTTATTTAAAAGTTATTTTCGAATTGTAGAGTAGAGCTTACCATACCACAGGAAGACGAGACACAAAAAATTCTTGACGAGAGATCTGGAGACTTTCACTTTCGGCGTGACTTTTTTATTTATTTATTTATTTATTTATTTATTTATTTATTTATTTACGGTTAACACTTTTTGCGGCTAACAGTTGAAATTTAAATTCGAATGAGAATATATATCAAACACTAATTAATTACAGTGTTTGACCACATTTCCAAACACCTCAAAGTTCGTCAAAAATGCCACACTGCGCGTCTTCTCGTTGTTTAGAAATGTGACCAAACACGGTCTTTCGTAATGAATAGATTCTGAAAAGAATTAATACAAGCCAGAATCTTGAAGCAGGAGTAGTTCCAAAGAAAATCGTCACATTTAGAATCATTGGCTCAGTAAAGGGAGAGGAAGGGGAAAACTATATTAAAAAAAAGGCAGAGACTATGCCTGGTTAAGTAAGAGAAGCAACTTTCCCCAGCTTTAGAAGTGCACATATTTATTTCGCACTTTCGTTGCAAACATCAGTTGACGTACACTGAGTCTAGAGTTAGTTTGGACCATTAATTGAAAATCTTGATATCTGGTTATAAGTTCCCTATTATGGGGACAAATATAAAGTTCCTTAGATGCTTCAACGTGGCCGGACCTTTACACATATTTTCTCTTTTGGCGTCATCAGCAAGACGCCTCGATGTTCCAGCGTAGCTACGGTCTCTTGAGCGCGTTCAAACTTGAATTGCTGCATGATTTTCAGCAGGCCTAGCTTAATCTCCAACAGAGCGAAGCGCATACCAATGCACTGCCGAGGGCCTGTTCCAAACGGGAGAAAGGAATACGGATTTCGCTTCTCCTTTGCTTCAGGGGAGAAATTCTCCGGGTTAAACTCGAAGGGGTTGTCCCACACTTCAGGGTCTCGGTGGAAAACATACGTAGGGATATTGCCATCAACTCCCTTGGGAAACCGGACGCCTTTGAAGACAGCCCTCTTTGCAGCCGGGGAGAAGAAGAAAGGCTGGAGCACAGAGACGTAGAACCTCGCACACGACTTGATCCAGGTACCGGATGCTTTGCACGTAGTCGTACAGCGGGGCGTCACCACGTGCTTGATTTGCTTTGTCGATCTCCTCGATCAGCTTATCTTGAACGTCTGGATGAGTAGCCAGGAAATACGCCGTGCTAGACAAAGTGGTGCCTGTGGTCTCAAACCCGGCTAACAAGAAGGTTATGGATTGGGCCATGATTTCATCATCGTTTAACTTGCTGACTCCGTTGACAGTGACCTCGTGGGCCTCCAACATCAACTGCAGCAAATCTCTTTTGTTGGAAGAACCCTGTTGAGCTTTTTGCTGAAGCATGTTCCTTGCCAAGGCAGTGAAGAAGTCTGTACCGGGCAAGAGGTTGACATATCGACTTAGATATGTCCAAAACGGCAGCAACGAAAACGTACGGACATAGAGAGGAGTTTGGAAAGCGTTCCTGGCTTTCTCTACGAATGCTTCATCTGGATTCATTTGAAGGTCTGTGTCAAACCCAAACGCAGCCTTCATGATGACTTCTAACGCAAAAAGGCTGAAGAGGCGAATGGCATCCACTGATTCACCTATATAAATAAATAAATAAATAAATATATATATATATATATATAAATAAATAATATATCAATTAATCAATCAAGGCAATGAAGAAATCTGTACCCGACAAGAGATTGGCATACCGACTTAGATATGTCCAGAACGGCAGCAGCGAAAACGTACGGATATAGAGCGGAAGTTGGGAAGCGTTCCTGGCTCTCTCTACGAATGCATGCTTCATCTGGATTCATTTGAAGGTCTGTGTCAAACCCAAACGCAGCCTTCATGATGACTTCTAATGGGAAAAGGCTAAAGAGACGAATGGCATCCACTGATTCACCTTTATAACAAAAAAATTAAAAAATGAAGAAAAATTAAGTGGAAATGAACTTTGCTGTGATAAGTTTTTGTTGATGTTGAAAGAAGGATTAGAAGAACTTCAAGCAAGGAACCAACTATATTGGAGAGAAGTA